TTGTCACCGCACAAGCGAACATAATGGCCATTGACGAAGAAGACGACTTCGGCAACGACGACAGTGAGATGGCAGGGCAAGATTAGGAAATCCGCGCATCGCTTGAGCATCGAAGGCGGTTAACTGGACAGCCGTCGAACGTTTTCCTGATTCTTTAGTGTCTGCATCGCACATTTTAACTGTTCGCAGTCGCTTTTTCAGCATTTATAGAGGTGTTTGGAGGTGTCAGACTTTTTGGCATCATTAGCGGCGCTATAGGATATCATCGTTTCTGTAAGGGTACAGAAACGAACAGTTGGTCTTGACAGGCCACACCTCGGTGGCGATTATACCCTTTTTGCGTTTCTTTAGCTTTTTCTTGGTACAATAGCGCGTATAGGGAAGACTTTGAGATCTCCAGACCAGGAGCATCACGGACAGACGGCCGCACAGCTTCTTAAAACTATATCTGTTTACTCCCCACTACTTTGGTGCACTCTGTATCTTGAACTGTGCTACTCTGTCACTTAGACATGAATCCTAAGCGGATATGCAAATACGAATCTTCTCTCACTTCATCAACCCACACATGCACCCACAGTCCGGCACGGGACACATGGCATGTCTAGCAAACCAATCCCTCGCATGATGACCATGAAACCCATGCGTACAATTCATACAAAACACCATCATCCTACCCTCCTTGTCCTCTCCTTTGAGCGTCTCGTACGCCCCCTGTTTACTCGGATCAGGCGAGCCCAACCACAGCATACATAGCGCACACCTCGGCATCTGCGCCGCACAATTCGGACAATGAAGTCCAGGTGTGCTAGCCGCAGATTTCTGTTGCAATGGTGCGGCAGGTTTCCCAGCACCGCCACCAAACGACAGCGAAGCCGTTGCACGATGCGTCGTCGTCGCGGTAGACGGCGCGTTATTCATGCCACCCGCCTGATGTGCAGTAGGAAGCAGCCTCTTCGTACTACTCCTCGGATCCTTCCTCAACGCAAGATTCTGCTGGCAGTTCAGACACCTGAGTGTCAAGCTCGGTTGACTGGGTTTATTCACACTCCTTCCCTCGCGCGTTACGCTGAGTAGATTGTGTTCTTTGACGTAGCGTGTGCGCTCGAGGAACGTGCGCCAGATCTGCTGTTGCTCGAGGTACATGTCTTTCCAGAGGGTCCAGCGCGGGTCTTGGATGTAGAGGGGGCAGGCGCGGGAGAGGATGAGGACGGCGTTTTGCAGGCCGGTGGTGGGGTGGTGCGAGATGTGCGTTTGGAGGAGGGACAGGGAGCGCGTTGTTAGGCCTGTGAGGAGGAGGGCGGAGATGTCGCCTTGGGCTGTCGCGGTTGTTGTTGTGGTGGTGAGGAAGGTGGTAAGGGAGGGGTCTGGTAGGTATTTCAGGGCGACGGCTACGCGGTCGGAGAGGGTGAGTTGGGGCATCGAGACTACGCTTGACCAATCGCCTGTGATGAAGTAGGTGAGGAGTGATTTAAGGTAGGCGTCGCTGGTCATGTCGGCCATCCAGGCGCAGGCTTCTCTTTGCTCGGCTGAGACCCCGGAGGAGGGCGAGGCGCAGGCTATAACGGCTGCGAGGCCGATGTCGTCTTGTGGGAGTCTCTTGCTCGTAAGACTTGCCCGGAGGAGGGTTAGTGCGATGTCCTTGTGTCCTTGGAAGACGGCGAGAACGATCGCTTTGTATATATCGCCTTCATCTATAAGTCGTTGACAGTTTTGCTCTACGCCGGCTTTCTCGAGGGGCCAGCCGCAGAGGCTGAGACACAGTTGCCTGTTCTCTGGATATTCTGTGTTCACGCCTTCGAAAATGGGGAATTCCATGGCCTCGACTATCTCTTTCACTGCATCGCTGAACATCTCTTGGCTTGTCTTTGTATCCGGATCGATGAGTCGCTCGTCGTACATTGTCAATTCATTTGCCCATATCGAGCTGACTCCCAGGTATTTGAGATCGAGGCCGTTGCCGACCATACCGTCTCCTGCGGCATGCGCATCCATGCGATCGATCAGCGTCCACACATCGACCAGCCAGGGATCGTTGTGGACGATAGCTTTGTTCTTGGCACAATCGAGCGAGTAGCCTTCCTGGACACGTCGTTTGGGCGCTTGGAGGACGCCTAGATAATCAGAGAGAGGAATCTTGAACTCAGGGAACGCAAGATCGAGAAGGTCCTCATGCATGTGATGGCTGGGGTGTTCTGTCGACAAAAGAGGTAGGCTTCGTTGGCTGTTGCTGAGGCTCAGTCTATCGATGCTGGCGGAGAGGTTGGGTTTGTGATCATGTTCGATATCGTACTTGTCGCCTAGTGCTCTGTTTTGTACCTGAATTAGATCCTCTGCTACCGTACCATATGGCGAAGTCGGCCTAGCGATGCAGGTGCGATCTTTGTATATCTCTTCCAGCGCGCTTACGTTGATCCGAGGTGGTATCGGTGGTACTCTGAGAATTTCGACTTCTCGATTTGAATGTAGAGCTAAAGCACATTGTCCACCGAGCGGGTTTCCAGTAGTCATAAAGTCGTATGCCACAACGCGCTCCTTTTCGTCGTGCCGATGCTGTTTGTCGTGTGAAGCGTAGCGCAAATGATGCGTGGCTTTGGTGTAGTATGGAGACGCCCATGCTCGAGCGAAGGGTGTATCCGCTGTCTCAGAAGGTTGATGAGAGTGCTGTGCTAATTCGATGATTTTGAATTCCCCAGTATTCGCAAGTACTCCGAATGTTCCTCGCTTGGTGCCAGAGTACCGAAGACTCCATATAGAAGCCGACTGTGAGTTATCCACAACTGGCTTGAACTCCAGGACGGCGCCTCCGCCCGCATTGTCGTTGGACGCTACTCGTTGTTTGACGAAGCGTGTGTCCCAAACAGTCACAGTTGGGTCTCCTGCCGTCCCCGCTGATAGAAAGTAGTTTTCGTCCAACGGGTCTATGGAGATGTTGTGCACCTGGCGTGTTTGGAATTGCGCAATGCCCGCTGTGCTAGAGTCTATGAAGAATGAGTAGGGGATGTTCACTGCTTTATGTGTGACCTACCTCTGAGATCGTAGATGCGCACGTATTGCCTGGAGACACCCGCGACGAGCATATCAGGCTGTCCATTGAAAAACTTGATGCTAGAGATGGCTTCTGAGCTCGCCAATTTCTTGTACGGTTCATCCTTGGCTGTGACTCGCGAGTCGTTCATATCGTAGATATTGAGACATACATCATTCCTGACTCTATCCAGCCCCGTAGCAAGTAGATTCTTAGCGCTGAAAGCGATAGAGTTGCATTTTCTTTGGTGTCGTATCGAAAACGAGTGGATGTAGTCGTGGTCGGGCTTGTCCGGATCTAATGTAACGATGGTAGCCTCTCCAGAGGCAGATCCGACAGCAACCACACTTGGATCCTTCTTGGACCAGTCGAAAGCCGTGTAATTTGGCAGCTTATCTCGGATGCATATCTGCTTATAGTTGACCTTGCTCTTACTAAACTCTTCGATTTGACACAGACGTAGCCTATTACCCGCGACATCGATGATCAGAAAGCGAGGGTTGTCTCGTGTCGAATGCGGCGACCATCTTATCGCAGCTTCCATCTCACTGGCTGACTATCGCGATCCCGCGATCCCGCGATGATGGAAGTTCAAGGTCCGAAAGCAGGATAAGGAAGCCTCATATATCAGTGAGAAATAGTCTGAAAGAACTCGGAGCGAATGATTTCGTGTGCATATTGGAGCACACTCGACTTTGCTAAGTTACCGTGCAAGTGGAAGACATCGGGAACATGCAGGTGGGTGAACGCCAGACGCGTGATCTCACTTGGCGCGCATCGGGCGGTCTAGCAACCTTAATTCTGCCGCCCCACTAAAACTTCCCTTCGTTCGATCCCAAGATTTCCGCAGTCAGCCAACAACTCTCAAATCCCAAATCTCAGCCAGCCACCATGTCGCAAAAGCGCAAGCATGCCGAAACGACCGAGTCGTCGTCCTCTGCCCCCAAACCATTCAAGAAGCACCGCACCTTCAAGCCCGGCCAGAGCCATCCCAAGTCGAAGAAGCGGCCGCACGTCTCGAGCGACATCGACAAGAGCACCAGCACCAACGCGCTCAAGAGCCGTATACGAGACCTGAAGCGACTGCTTGCGCACGTCGACAATTTAGGCGACCACAAGATGTCAGCGGGCAACAGGGTGGAGAGGGAGAGAGAGCTCGAAGCCTGTCAGCACGAACTGCAAGAGAAGCTGGAGAGCAGCAGAGAGGCCGAATACAGAAAGAAGATGATTGGAAAGTATCATCACATACGATTCTTCGGTATGTTATGGATTGCGCAGGGCGCATGGGAGTCAACACGAAGCGATTGCTAACGCGCCTCAGATCGTCAAAAGGGCACACGGATACTGAAGAAGCTGAAGAAAGAACACGAGGCCGAGGAAGACAAGGCGAAGAAGCAAGACCTAGCGCAAAAAGTGCACAACACTCAAGTCGATGTCAACTACGCCATTTACTACCCCCTCATGAAACCCTACGCCTCTCTATACCCAAAGTCGAAGAAGGACAAGGCCTCAGATTCCGACGAAGCAGCGGACGAAGATACCGACGACAAAGCGAATCGCGAGGTCGACGGGCCAAAAGGCGATTTGGACATGTGGAAAGCTGTGGAGGAGGCGATGGCAGCAGGCACATTGGACGCGCTCAGGAATAGCAAGGAGGGCTTGCCCGCTGCTGTGCCCAAGAAGGAACCGAAAAAGAAGGCACAGCCGCAAGTGCAACAAGCAGTCAAGGTCAAAGAGAAGAAGGTGGAAGAAAAGTTGGCAGCAGCCAAGAACCGTCGCGAGAGGAGAGCGCTCGGCGTACAGGCTCAGGAAGAGGCGGAGGAAAGCGACGGTGGTTTCTTCGAGTAGTTTCACGGCACGGAGATACGTTCATCTGCATCATATACCCGGCGTCCAGTCGCCAATAAGATTATTCTGCAGCAGAATCCGATTACTACAGATTACCTCTTCACCTCTTCACAGACCGCGTTCTTTACAGCCCTCTCGTCGCATTCCCACCCCCATAGACCTTGACCGGATGCGCCTCAGTATTATAGACCCATTCATTGACTCCATCTTTGCCAACCTGCCACTCCGCCTCGCCCGCCTGAATCGCATAGCTGTACTTCAACACCTCGGCGAACCAGAAGCTCTCCTGGAAGTCTGTAAAATTGCCCCCACCAACCACATTCACGTCCTCGATAGAACTATACCCACTGCCGACCCTCGTCGTCGCATTAATCGCAACAAAAGCATCCCACGCCCAGTCCTGGTACTTTGAATCCGAAGTCGCGCGGTAGGCGTAGTAGTAAGATTCGATGACCTCAGGACGGAGTTGGTAACCTGCGTTTTCGATCCAGAAACCAGTTTGGTTGAAGAAGGATGTTTGGTTCGCTGGTACGGCGGAGGTGTTCCAGGAGAAGACTTCAGGTCCGATGCGTGTTGCGGTTTGAATGTACGTCTCGTGGCAACCGTTGACCAGTTCGAGACCGAAATCGATGTAGTCTTGTCGGTCGAGGACTTGGCCGCCTAGGATGAAGTTTCCGCCGTCGAAACAGGCGAGATGCTGGGATTCTAGGTCGAGCGTGGTGTTTTCAAAGGCTGCGAGGAAGGTTATGTCTGGTCGGGGGGCTGGGTGCGAGGCTAGATTCGCAATCGAACTGTCTACGGCTTTGATCCAGCGTTCTTTGAGGAAGCTGTAGCGTGGGTCGTAGATGTACATCTTGATCAGATACTCGTAGAAGGAGTCGGCGCCGCCGACCCATCCTCCGACTGCGTCGTTGAATTGCCCTGTCGTTACGTTGATTCCCATGCCCAGGAGTCCAGGGAACGGCTCGGCGAAGTCGGGAGATGGGAAGAGTAGGTATTGTTCTGCCTTTTCGGCCAGATCCGCATATGTTTGGTTCCCGGTGAGATCGGCCAGGCGCACCCATTCGAGGATCAGTGTGCCAACAGTTGCGAGTCCGTTCTCTTGATCGACGTTGCTTCGGTTGTTGAAGGTAAGGATGTTCCAGGGTATTCCTGTAGGTGTCTCGAATGCATAGGAGAGGTTGTTGGCCAGATTGACGGATTGCGTTAAAAGGGCTTCCACATTCGCTGGATCATCTGCGAGGTGCGCCAAAGGACCAGAGAGTAAGTCATAGCCGGACAGCATGCCGCCAAGGTATCGGATCGTGGTCTCGAATAGAGAGACAGGGTCTTCGGTATACGCGAAGTTGATGCTGGGGATATATTCTATGATTTCATTCACGATGTCTTTCTGGCCCATGATGAGTGCCGTGCTGAGCGCGTCTACGGCAGAGGCACCCCATCCGTTCCTGAGACCATGTTAGCAAGACTTCCTTGAAACATGGATATTGGGTGCGGACCTCGAATTACTTCCGTTGTTGCTCACAGGCCTCAGCTCATCCATCGGGAATGCATACTGGCGGTATCCCTCCCAGCTTATTCTGAAGGTGTCGATCACGGCTTGTGCTCTCTGATCAGGCGACACAGGATCGTATGATGGTGGGGTGGTCTCATACTGCCTCCTCGGTAGGTCTACCGGTGTGTTCGATGGTAGAGCCGACACCAGCGACAAAAAGCCACTTCCGAGCGTGAGAGACGTGAGATGCATTGCGTTCAAGCGTGTGATCTTCCACAGACGCTTGCGGTCCTCAAAGTCTCTTGTATAAATATGTTGGATGTCAGGGATACCGTTCGGGCCGGTTGCTACTCAGTTTAATGAGAGGTCAACAAAGTTCAGGTATGGATATCTTCACCGTCTCCAATGAAGAAGAACGTTGAAACGAATGACAGAAGAGTGTCTCTAAGTAATAGAAGCAGATCTGGGAGGTTAAGCACCTGTTCATAGTGGAGAATGACCAAGACCCGTCTATTGGCAATTGCATCACGTTCCCTCTCTACTGCAAGTTGTGCAGCCAGATCCAGGAGTTCGGGAATATCGGGACACCATTATAACGTCCCATGTAACGCTGAATAAGGAAGGTAGTAGCTCTATGCGGGCATAAACACATACTGGCAACAGGCATTGTGAGGCTGGGTACCCGCGATCCCCTCGTGCTAATGCGAACCGAACTTCTCGGGGCGCATGACGAGACAGGGTGATCGCTGTAGTGACAAAAGTGAGTGGCTGGCAAGGTTTATAGTATGCAGGCGCTGGTGCGTGCTATCATGTCGATCCCAGAATCTGTGTTAATCCCTGGTCGTGCGTCACCTGCTGCCGTCGTCGCGATATGTGACACGATGATGTTTTCTCGACACAAATCGTTCCTGGATGGGCAGAAGTTCCGCTTCAGAATGGTTGGTGCAGTGGAGAAACAGTTGTACAGAAGAGAGAAGCGACCCAACAGGTCGCGTTCCTGGCAATGGCGGGGGGATCTACCGGAAAAGCGGGCGCGGATGGCTTGAGGCGCTAATCCCGCATCTTATTTCCACCTCTGTCGGGTTATTGCGACAGGTGCAGAAGGCGACAGGTGCTTCTGCATTTCAAACATGAAGATTAGGCGTCCCCCGAAGCAATCTTGCGATCCAGTTCGAGGATACACTAACACTAAACAACCCGCTCTACGCTCAGCACTTGATATATGTGCCAAAGGTGCGCGCACGAAAGTCTTGCGCTGGATCCAGTCCGTCGTGCATGTCATCATCGCTCGGGTATGTCATTTGCTCTATACTGCTCGCTACTTGAAGATTTTACTACCAAAAGTGTGCTTTGCGATCATGTCGGCTCGGCCCAGTCAACCTGCTCTGTCACTGGAGCACCACCTGCCGAGTAACTGATCTTGAGTCGGAGCTTTAGCCTTGCAGGTGGGGGCTAGGTCTGTTAGCACGGCATACATACAAAACATATCTGAGAATGACTTACCCCATTGACGGCTGTGACCCTCATTTGCTGGGTCGCATCTTGGCCTCCCTCCAGTTCACTTGTACTGATAGGTTGCAGCTGGAGCTTTTGACTCTTTGGTACAGCGGCTTGTAGATTCACACCTGACAGCTGGCCAAAGCTTCCAGTATTGCGGAAACGTGCGAGAAGTTGCACGGCGTTTGCGTCACGCTTGAGCTGGAAGGTGATCTGTAGGTCGTTCTTGTTGTATGCGGGATGCGCGGGCGGGCCTGAGGCCACCGAAGGCGCTGAAGCTTGTGGTGGTGGCGAGGACATGCCGCCGAGCCCGCCCAAAAGGTCCATGGAGTTACCTGCCGGCGGTGCCTGAGACTGAGCTGGGGCTGGGGAGCTACTAGCTCCGGAGTTGAAGAGGTCCATGATGTTGGCCACGTTTGATTGTGGTGCCGGGGAGGATGTCTGGGGCGGTGATGAAGACCCGCCCATGATGTCTGCAAGCAAGTCCTGGCTCTGTTGAGTTCCATTGGCCGCCCCATTCATGCTAGTCGACGGGCCTGCATCGCCCATGAGGTCCAGTAGCAAGTCTTCTGTCGCTGCTTGCGCAGGCTTCTTCTTTGCAATCTTCGACTGTCGCTTCTTGGTCGCTTCGCCCAGAACTCGTGACTCTTCGCGGATTTCAGGTGGGGGCATCTTCTCAAGAACGCCCCTCCTAATCTGGTCGTGACCGAACAAGTTTCCGTATTCGGCTGCACGCTGTTGAATCTCAACGTCAAGGTTTGCCGCATATCGTTGTAATAACCGTCGTAAACGCTCAATCTGAGCAGGATCGCTCAAACGTGTCGTCAATTTCATAGAGGCTGTGACGATGTACTGTTGAACGATGAGGCCGGCGTAACTGCTACCGAGGATGGTTTCGAAAAGATCGACGACGTCGCTTTCTTTGACTTCCTTGACAAGCTCTTCCTCTTCGTACTGACCACCTCTTAGCAGTGCATCGCCGTACTCTCCGATGACCCAGGAACCGGCTAATGTGAGACCCTCCTGTGTGATGTCTTCCTTCAAGGCCGCATAGAGTTTCTGTACGGAATAGGTCTGGAGGTCAGGTGTGGTAGCAATCAGTCGTACAAAGGAGGACAAAATCTGCTCTTTGACGTAGTTTCCGGCCTGATGCATGAATTAGTTACATGCAGCTTACAGGAATATGACTGACTTACGAGTTTCAACACACGCAGCATGGTATCAACGTGCCACCTCTTGTTCGGTGCGAAGCGGTCTGCTGCGACACCGATCTGGGATGTCATGACAGGTTTGAACTCGTTATCAGCAACCTCCAAGAAAGCAAGGAGCTCCCTTATCAGTACTCGCACATTGCTCTCGTTGATCAAGGTAAAGCTGAGGTCAAGCGCTCGCCGTCTTATACTAATATCAGGATCCCGTAGACAATCCAGGATGGTGTTGCGGTGTCTCTGCACGGCGTTTGGCTCGACTGCGACAACCTTGATCAGTGTGTTGAGCGCAACATATCTGATGTTGTTGTCGCGGTTTGACAAGAACTTTCCTAGGATGTTGACACCAAGCACGCGAAGTCCGGAATCTGCTTCAATGTCGAGGATTGTGAGTACTGCCTCGTACAAGATGGAGTTGCCGACGTTTTTCGAGGAGTCTGTGTTGGTTGCGACCTGGGCTAGGATATCGTTGATCTGTTCGCTAACCTGCGCATCGCCACGGGCCAGGACTCGTAGAAGCTGGAGTAGCTTGCATTGTAGGAAAGGGTCTGTGATGCCAGTCACGTCGTGCTCGGGCGCATAACCTGACGAGGAGAGCCCCTTCAATATCTTGACTAGACTGGGCACCATGGGTCTGAAGATGTCCCTTACGCCGTTCTCATCATCCTCGGCCTCGTCCGCCTCGCAGAGGTTCTCTACTAGAGTGACGCCACACAGCAAGACGCCGTGGTTTCGGTCTTGTAGTAGCAACTTGGCCTTTTCCAAGAAATGTTCCTGGAGGTCGGGCACTTTCCGACATATCCTCATGGCGCAGATTGCGGCTTTGCGACGTATGTATGGGTTCGCGCTCGATATTATCGTTTCGACTTCCGGGAACAGGTCTCGAGCCATTTCGACGGAGGCGATGTTGCCGAGCGTGCAGAGGGCGAGGCCGACGATGTACTGGTTGGGGTGGTTGAGGTCGCTACACATTGCTTAGCACGTGGATCTGTATCAGAGAGAGCATCATTGCCTACTTCTTCAGCGAGTTCGTCACCAGAGTCAGGACTTCCTGGTTCTCGTCCAGTAGCAGCATGGTACCCAGATACCCCAAGCGCTTGTCAGCGAAGCGCGGAGAGGCCAGCAGCTTCAGACACTCGATTTGACCAAAGTGTGTCCTCTCACCCAGAGTGAAGAGATAGAGTAGCTTTGCGACATTGTTCCTCCTCACGTTGGAGTCGTGGCTCTCCTCCCTGAAGCTGGCGCGGATGGCGGCACTCTCTTTCTGCACGACTGCACGCTCGTCGGCAATTGTCTTCGCAGCGCGCACATTGCGAATGAACTGCTTCACTGTATATCCTTAGCACAAGTCCTCAGCTGCTGGGGGTCGCGGTGCTTGGCGTACAGGAAGCCATTGCGGTGGCCTCTTGGACCCCACCCGGACAGCGAAAGAGGGTTCGATGGGAAAGAGGCTGCAGAGGACGGGAAGGGTATTCGGCCGTCGATGGGTAGTATGGATCGGTCACGGGCGACTATGTGAATTGTCCTGGCTGCGCGTTGGTAGGCGGAACGTTTGGGCATGGCCTACAGCTGGCCGGGCCGTCATTTGTTCCAGAGTCCAGAGGTCGGACGCACCTGCCACCAACAACGGGTACAGATGCCTAGACTCTACTCTGCCCTGAACTCTGGCTATTTTTGATGCGCATAGATTCTGGCGCAATTGCCTAGGTAACCCTGAGATATAACTACTTGCACGATACTCTACGTACCAAGAAACACGACAATTCCTGGCACTGCTCCCAAGACGCCTGCACTGACTCGCGCGGCCGCTGATGTAACCGACCCTTCGACCCTCAGTGCCAACTCTCCGAGTCGCTAGGCCACCACTACATCAGCAGACCGCATGTACTTGCATATTCCTTGTAGCATATATACGTATCAAATGCAAGCCGATTACCTCTCCATTACCTGTTTGTGTCGAGCGGTTGTCCGGAAGCCTCGTCTGCCACTCACTGCCCCATCTGACACAGCCAGTGACCCTGTTAGTTGCGGATCATAGTCTGGCCTGTCCACACTTGAATCCTCCTTCCCACTCCTCCTCCGTGACATGCGCATACACGTCTCCCCATAATGGCCGAGTCTACGTCTTTTGACGCGAATGCTCACAACGGCAACACCGACTTCCACTCCCCGCGACCGCGCAAACCCACGAGGATCGACTTGCTCAAGCCCCAACTCAGCGACGAGGCGTTTAACAAGAATGGCACGCTCCGGGAGCCCGGCTCAGGCATCTCTAGGTATATGGGCACCTCTTTCGACGCGATACATGGCTGACCTCAGCAGTGGAAGAAGCACACCCATACCCGACGATGCCCCGCCTTCCGTCCAGGCCTCCTCGTCCGCACGCAGACAGATACGCGCCCAGCACAAGCAGCGCATATTCCCTACCATCGACTACGTGGATCGCGTCTCCCACTTCGACCCAAACAGCGACTACCATGACTTCCGCGGCTTCTTCGTCCTCTTCTGGATCGGACTTGCTATCATGGTCATTACATCCATGCTGCGCAACATGACCGAGACTGGATACCCCTTCCAGATGAGACAGTGGGCGCTGTTCAAGGAGAAGGTTGTCGAGCTTGGTCTAGTCGACGGTGCCATGGTGTTCAGCACCGCCCTGTCGCTGCCACTCCAGAGGCTGTTTCTCAAACAGGGGTCTCTACGCTGGAACACGTCTGGCATAGCTATACAGAGCATAATTCAGGCAATTTGGCTCGCTTTCTGGACTACGTACGCTGGCCCTGGTTATACATTGTACCGTAGACTGACCAATGCAAAGATACCCTTTCATTCGCGACTGGAGCTGGACCGCGCAGGTCTTCTTCACTCTGCATCTGCTTGCGATTTTCATGAAGATGCACTCTTACGCGTATGGCACTAAGTAACTAGAGCTTCGATTGCATCGCTAACCTTGTGAAGTTTCTACAACGGTCATCTTAGCGAAACTCTACGGCGCTTGAACGATCTTGATACACCCGACAAGGCCAGCAAGGTAGCTGCAGTGCGCTATCCAAGCTCAAGCACTCATTTGCACGAGATCCCGCAATCGCCCTCACAGGAGGAACCCGACCCGAAGAAGGCCAACGCAGAGTATCTTGGCCAGTTGAGAGATGATCTCGCATTGGAGCTTGCTTCGCCTCTCGGAAACGTCTCCTACCCCAACAACCTCACCCTGTATAACTTTGTCGACTTTATTTTCTGCCCAACCTTGTGTTACGAGCTGGAGTACCCGAGGAACACCAGCATCCGCTGGTTGGAGGTCTTCTACAAGACTCTTGCCGTATTCGGATGCATCTTCTTGATGGTCATTACTGCGGAGGAGTTCATCCTCCCAGTGCTGGACGTATCGGCTGTGCGACTCCAGAATTCCAAGGGTGCTACTGATTTTACGTTGATTCTCAGCGAGACTATCGGCCGTCTGCTCTTTCCGTTCATGATTACTTTCCTGCTAGTCTTCCTCGTCATCTTTGAGTACATCCTGGGTGCTTTTGCAGAGATAACACGTGAGTTTCCACTACCAAGCCCAGCGTCCGCTGCTAACAAGAGTTGCAGGCTTTGCCGACCGTCAATTCTATGCAGACTGGTGGAACAGCTGCGACTGGTTGGAATTCTCGCGCGAATGGAACAAGCCTGTGTAAGTCACGTCCCTGTACGAGTCGCATGTGAGAAATATACTGACTGGAAGCGTTATGATTTAGTCACCATTTCTTCCGACGACACGTCTACTCTGCATCCAAGAACCACATGTCGCGTCCTCTGGCTACAACAATCACCTTTCTCATCTCCGCATTGGCGCATGAGCTTGTCATGGGCTGCATTACACGAAAGTTCAGAGGCTACGGTTTCGTTGCGATGATGCTCCAGATGCCGATTGTAATGTTGCAACGAAGCAAGTGGGTTAGAGGCCGCACTCTGTTGAACAACGTTCTCTTTTGGTGCAGCATGATCTTGGGGCTTAGCATGGTAAGCTGTGAACTTCCGGCGTACATCCATGGAGACTAACAGTTTGACAGATGTGTGCTTTATACGTACTTGTGTAATTCATGGATCGTTGCTTTGGAATAGGTTGCTTTGCTGCATTGGCAAGACCTGCGAAATACCCCTCTCTACGTGTGCAGCACGTCTTAGATAGATAGAATATTTCTCTCACACTGTATCCGCGCGGTGCGTTTCATCGAGTGCTATACCAAGCCAGAATGCTAGCGAACGCGAAGGTCGCAATTTCGCAAGCTTTGCCATATGTGACGTAGTGGCTGCCGGCGTATTCGTATGCAGGGCGGCCAGGGATTGATACGTCGGTGGCGCGGCGGGCGACCCCGCGTCACGCGTCGCGGATTGGGAAGAGCGAGCGACGTGCAGGGATGACGTTGCATCAACTATACCTGCACATGCAAACAACTGCCATATCGACTGGAGGCCTCGCAATTCAGCATAGGAACATAGCTCCCCTAGTTTGCTACTCGTTATTAGTTCTTTCTCAAGCTCCATCTTCATTGCAAATCGAATCGATAATCGCAGGTAATGATTTCATCGTCCGTCACCGGACCCTGCTAGCTGGCACCACGGGTACCTCGGAACATTCACAGCACACAAATAGCTTGGGAGCAGCCACAAGGGGTCTAGGTATCCTGTGGCTTTGAATCCCTCGTTACTACCTCCCCCAGATCTTTCCAAGTCCCATCTTTCCGTCAGACAATATCATGTCGGAGCTACACGAAGCGCTCGCGTGCCTCCGGCCGAAGGAGTTCAGCGACGTCCCTACCGACAACCTCCAGACATTCCTATCCGAAATACTGGCCAAAGCAGAAGTGATCGCGAACTCTGTGCCTCCACCACCCAATGGAACGCCTTACGAGTCGTCACAACGAACCCGAACCGAGCAAGAACCTGCAACAGGCTCCAAGGACCTCACAATTTCCCAAGTCCGCCGGCCACCACCTGCGCCAGAGCATGAAGAGCTGCAGAAGTCATGGGGCAAGCCCGTGAAGCTAGGAAATAATGATGCCGCCACAGGCATGAGCGTCTACAAGATGGCCGGAAAGGATAGGCATGGAGCCTGGTTCTCGCGCTCGAGCGTACACGAGGGCCTCGGGTTCGAGAAGTGGAAGCGCGCCATGAAGAGGGAGTTCCCGGAGAGCCTGGAAGTCCAAGGTGGCCCCGGCGAGGGCAACATTAGAGGCATTGGAGGAGACCAGAGACTGGAGGACATGACAGTCGACGGCGTTGGTCAGCTGCAAGGTATGCGAGAGCGAATCATTCCAGACGCCTATAGCGACTAACAGAGGCGCAGTCTACCAGCTATCCGCGCAATTCCCTGGCCCGACCTCACCGCGAGAGTTCATCACCCTACTCATCACCTCGGACACATGTCTTACCGATGCCTCCAAAGTCGCCAACTCAACACCGCGACACTTCATGGTCGTTTCCATACCCTGTTCACATCCCGATGCGCCGCCGCGAAGCAACATGGTGCGAGGCTTCTACGAGTCAATCGAGATGATCAGGGAGATACCCATGGGCGACGGCGACGCAGAGACCAACCCTATCGAGTGGATAATGGTCACCCGCAGTGATCCTGGTGGTGGTATTCCTCGATTCATGGTCGAGCGGAATGTGCCTAGCAGCATAGTCCAGGACGCGGTCAAATTCCTCGACTGGGCGTGTGCTAAAGACGACGACCTCGAGGCAGATGGAATGGCAGGCAAAGACGACTCTGCGGAGACGCCTAAAGCGCACGACACTGGGCGGACATTCTCCGCAACTGATGCGAACGGTATGGGTGCCGGAATAGGAACCAGCATAGTGGACAAAACTGGGGAGGCTGGCAGCCAATACAGCTTACAACGCACAAGATCGGATAGCTCCTCAAGCTCGTCGTCTTCCGGCGAGTCTTTCGCATCTGCAGAACAGTTCACTACTGCCCGCGAAGGACTCCCAATCGACCGAGAGATCCCGACACCATCAACTTCGTCGCAACAGTCCCTACCGTTGACAGAAGACAGCCCACATCACAAGGGCTTACAAAAGATTGAAGAAAAGAAGGAGCAGCTGAAGGCGAAACTCGACCAAGCGCGCGAAAAGCAGGAGTCGGGACTACAAGCTGAAAGCCAGAAGGCGAATGCGGACATGCAAAAAGCGAATGAGAAGCACGAGAGGGAGAAGAAGAAACAGAAAGAGAAGTATGAGAAAGAGATGCGCAAACTCGAAGAGCGCCGCGAGAAAGAGACAAAGAAACTGCTCCTCCGCCAACAGAAGGAAGCAGATAAGAATCAACTTGCCAAAGCGCAACGCGAGCGGGATGAGTTCAAGCAGCGCGTGGAGATACTGGAGCAGGAGAACAAGTTGATTAAGGAGCAGATTGGTGACCTGCAACATGAAAACACGACGCTCGTATCTCGGTTGGGAAAGACTCCCGAAGGCATTGAGATCCTGAGGTCGATCAAGGAGGGGGATAAGGGCAGAATAAGGGCAAGCTCAAGAACGAGTGTGAGCTCCGGGATGAGTGGAACGAGGAGCAAAGCTTCGAGTGGTTCGTCGAACACGCTGCCTAGGGCTGGTACAACAAACTTTTGAGCCTGAGTACGGGTAACTGGCGTTGCTTTCTTTTCTTTTCTTCCCTTTATCCTTCCTATGAAGTACTATTAGCGATTGAGCAAGGCGTAGTTCAAATGCGGGCTATGGAATTCCAGAGGGAGCACCAGAATCGAGACAAACGATTGCCAAGTAGCGGACTAGAATGAGAAACCAAACGGTGATTTGACGCATCTTGAATTGGTGCTCTCAATTTATGAGCCATGCGACGAGCGAACGCGTGCGTAATCTATGGGCGCATCTCGCCTCTGACTAGACCCCACTTGGGCAGGCATCCTCGGTCTTGACCTTACATCCCGCATGTAGACATGTACCTCAGCATACACGTTCCTGTTTGTCAACGATACTTCTCGGCGCCTCAGTTCTAATGCGACGGTCATAGATACCTATTTCTCATACAAGCAATACACACGTCCTTGGCGAATGACGACTTTTACGGCCCGATAAGCAGCCACTTGTCCACGTCTACCAAGCACATGCCTTTCAACCCATGCACAGGGACCATCTAACGAAACCTACAACTTTCATTGTTTGTCCAAGTTTAGAAAGAGCAGAAGAAGGAAGGAGTCGAAGTGTCGAGCTGAAACAAACGAAAAGAAGCAAACACCCTCCCCCACCATCTGGAAAATCAGCACCGGACCCTGTAGTCTTCTTTTCTACAGGCAGGCAGCCAGGGGAAACATCGAAGAGATATAGGTAGCCTCACGGGGAACCATTTCCCAGTGTTTTCGAACCACGTCCTACACCACACCTTGCCAAGATGGCAGCACAAACAGAGAACAGCACATACATGACACCCAGCACAGCGCCCAGACTCGCAGGCATGGGTGGACCTGTGAAGCCCACACTGCTAGCCTTCCATGGCTCAGGAAGCAACGCGACCGTACACACAATCCAATTGGCAAGACTAATGAGGGTGATCAAAGACCATTTCGAAGTCGAAAGTCTGGAAGGTATGCATACCCCATATCCACCCACCTACTCATCCCTTGAGATGCGCTCCCGTGCTAAGGTCGCTATCCAGCGCCATTCCCCTCCCAACCCGGCCCAGGCATCCTCCCCTTCTTCGAAGGCTGCGGGCCCTTCAAACGCTGGATGCAATCCAGCGTAACCATCTCCGACATGAAAGCCGGCAACTCCACCACCGCCATGCCCTCCGAAGTCGAAGACCTTGTCCGCAGCACCGTTGAGCGCATCACCTCCACCGGCGGCAAAGTCGTCGGTCTCATCGGCTTCTCCCAAGGCACCAAAGTCGTAGCCGGGCTCCTCAAAGGCTGCGAAATCCGACGCGCACTCGCTGAGAAAGGGAGTGATGTATCGCGGCTTGCGTATCTGGATTTCGAGTTCGGTCTCAGTGTTTGTGGGTCGTATCCGCCGCCGCTGATACCGCCTTCTGCGTCTGCGGCGCTTGATGCGGCGGTTTCGTCGTTTGGGATGAGTGTGGAGGAGCGCAAGGAGTTGATGGAGGGAAAGATTAAATTGCCGGCTTTCCATGTTCAGGGTCTGCAAGATGAGTGGAATTGGGCGGGTCAGGGACTGATCGATGGGTGGTATGAGGTGGGTGAGGGGAAGAGTGTGGTGAGGCATTGGGAACAGGGTCATCTTTATCCTGTACAGCCGGAGGAGAGTCAGGAGATTGGGGAGTGGATGTTTGGGGTCCTGGGGCGTGGAGATGGGAAGATTGGGGGCGAGGCCCGGTGATGAAGGCGACGAGCGGCGGGAGCGTAACAGCTATTGAAGGCGATAACGCGGAGCAAGAGGGAAAGGCCATGTACCTTGTCGCAATGCAACAGGTATTCCAGCAACAACTAACACTTGAGGAAGTGAGAAGAGAAGACTAGTCACGGGCAGAGAAGATAAAGTTTGCAGTCAAAATGTTGATTTGATGAAGTGCTGCAAATATTCTAACCACGACCAAACCCCTTTGAAGATATCCTTAAAGAACCAACACTGAAGTAAACCAGCCCAGAAGCCATTCCTTGCACCCAAAGACCAACAAGATTCCTTGCCCAAACCACCAAGACCATGAAAGATCGAAAGACCCATGAAGAACCACCACCACCAAGTCCAAACCTCCTACCACCATTTAAGTCCAAACTGACCAGCCGAGTGTGCGCCAATCCAACAACCGGCAGAGGATCTCATCCAAAGCTCTTACACACCGGATGCTTCTGCGAACAGTGACCACGTTGATATCAGCCGAAGCCAACCTGAACCCCATCGAGGCACGCCAGTGGTATGTAAGCAGGGCGCGCAAGACCGCAGTAGTGGTTGTAGGCCAGGTATAACAACCAAGTTGTCATTGACCCTCAGTCCTCCTGACACAACCACAAGCCGTCAAGCGCTCCAAAAGCACAACACAATCTTGTAAGGGTCTCTCACCCGTCGCAACCACTCGATCTGGTCATTGTCGTGCGCCGCGGTCGGTAGGGAGAGTCGAAGCAATCTGTCGTAGTCGCAGATCGGTTCAGTCGATGATGGGTGGACTCGTCCGATCGGTTCTTGAGCTTTGTCGTATGCGAAGGAGCATGCTGGAGGTCCGGAGTGATGATGAGGTTGATGTTGGTGTGGAATGAAGTGAGGTAAGGTGGAAGTCCAGCATGTCCAGGATGAAGTCGATGAAGGGAGGAGGTGATTGAAGTTGGATGAAGTTGTTGATATTATTCTGATGAAGGTCAGTTAAGGATGGTCAAAGAAGAATGAAGAACCTACTTTGTTTTTGTTCTGAACGAGTCAGAAGACAAGTCAGTGAACAACGAAGAGGGGATAGAAGCAAACCTTGAAATCTTTTAGGCTATAGCAGCTGGCACTTGGTGTGAAGTGAAGTCGACATGAACATCCAGTGAAGTGTTGATGGATACCAACATGGTGATGGCTGAAGTTGGAAGATGTGATGGTGTAGCCTGAAGGTATCCGAAGTAGAAGCAAAGTAAGGCTTCACATAATGTGATGGTGTAGTACTGGAGAAGGTCGAAGGTGTTGAAGAAGTGTTCAAGTACACCAAGTGCCAAGGTAGAATGAGTGAATGTATGTTGCCATGATAGACCGTGATGAAGGTCAAGGCTGAAGGATGATGAGTTAGAAAGAGCTTGAAACTTGGTAAAAGGTACCTGAGCTCCAAATCGATGTGTTGGCCATTGGGCGTTATGGTAGTGGACGTGGAGGTAGCCAAACTAAGTAGGCCCTCAGGTCTTGGCGGCGCTAGCATCACGTGATGCTCTACTAGCGCCTGGCCGGCAGATCATCGGGCTGCCTGCGTCGGCTGGAGTTGCTCAGGTGAAGGGGGAATGTGGTGGTTGAGTGACCGTTTGTTGTGGTTGAGCCCAGGCAACCACTTACCACGGCAACGCTAGCCGGGGACAGCACGCCCGTGAACGAAAATCGAAGCGCCAATATGAACGTTCGGGGTATGAGAGTATCCGTACTAGCGTACACATTGCGGCATTGTCGCTGCAAGTCTCGTCAGGGCGCCCTGTGGTTCACCTTGGTTGTAGCCAGCGATCCATTGATGACAGTTGATTGTCAGCCAGAGTTGAAGCTACTCTTTTGCAAGAATGAGAGACTGTAAGAGCAAAGAATGTGAGCTACTTTGGAAGTGAAGCCTCCCCTAAGAACGTAAGGTCTTCTGACGAGGTAGCCATGATAGAGCTAATAGTGTCGACAGCAAAGTGGCCGCGCAAATAGAAGGACCTTCAGGATAGCATGAAGTCTCTGGCTGATCACACCTAGGTATGTATCTTCTCCACTGCTGGTGCGTCACTGAGGTGGTTCAACGCCCCTCGGCTTACCTAGGTAGGTAGTGACTGAGGCTGCGATGAGCGACGAGGCGGCGCTTCAAGCTGGGTCAAAGGTACATCCAGCGAGCGAACGTCGACTCAATGCTAACGAGGTCGCCTGCTTCTTGGTCAAGTGCTCGGGCTGCCGTCCGTTCTCATTGCGCCCCGAGGCACTCACCAACCGACGGTGAGACCTAACTCATGGCGGACGACGGCCCCTACAGCAGCTGCCATTCAGTTCGATTGCCAGTTCGCCCAAGCACGCGCAACTCGCATTACCCTCGCATAAGACATAAGGAAGATTACGCAGTGCGTCCCTACTACGGCGGCCCGGTGAGTGACAGTCTGGAGGCTGCGCCGCGGCTATTGACTACGGCAACGGATTGCCATGCGCAACCCAGCCAGCAGGGCGGTAGCGACTCCGAAGACGAGATGGCAGATATCTACTACCGTAGAAGAGCCTTCGGCAATAAGGGCAACCTATAGAGCAAGGAAAGAAAACGGTTGCGATACAAAGCTAGAAGCAGGCTCTGCATGGCTAGCTCTTGCAGCTATTCATGGATGTGACGGACGCAAGAGCAAAATAGACATGAGAACGCAAAATATATCTAGCCTTGCAGTGAAGTGGAGTCCTCACAAGCTCGGAGTATGTGTCATGGAGACCGTTAAGCTAGAGATGCCGAGAATTCTCGCGAGCTTGGAAACGATGATGATGATGTTCATGCAGTGCTAGGATATTGGTCAGGCTCATAGTCTAGCTAGTGTAGCGGTACATCTGTCGGTCCTATCTTCGAGCCGGCATATTCGAAGGTTTGTACAAGTGTTCTGGTGATTGCCGGTTGCCGGTGTATGCCAGGAGCGGCGCTCGTCCTTCAAATGCCGTCGTAGAATCATGGCGTTTGAGTTCCGCAATGCCAATAGCACCGCCTGTTTCAACAACTTAGTTTGAAATCATGCTGATATCCGATTGACCAGTGTTCTCACACCGTACATAAGCTAGCTCACAAGACAGATACAGTGTCAATGAGTTTCAAAGTGCTCGTAGCAAAGCATGACATTGGCGGCATCAAAGGCCGAAGAGTGATTTTTGTTGAATCCCGGGACGGTACAAAGAGCGGTAATGTAGGCATTGTCAGATAAACATACTGTCCATCCAGTTGGTACCATCGTCGGCCAAATCTCGTCACTATAGCAAAGTCAAAATGTAATCAACCCGCAAGCACCTCGGTTCAACAATTTGTGCGCCTGTAAATGGTCGAGCATGGATCGTATAAAGATACTAACCGTGGTTAGCTCGTGGCTACAGAGTACCTAGGATACTGAGTAAGCTTGACATGACGGCAAGGTACTTACCTCAGCACCCCACGTTCGTCCCACGTAGCATGTGCGCCGCTTACCAATGCCTAGGTAATGAGAGCCAACGGGTACACCGAGGTAATGCTACGCAGAATTCTTCTAGGCTTTCTCCACTGACCCATGGCGTCGTTCCCCAGCATTAGCGGCCCGTCTCGGTGTTGAGCGACTGTATCCCTAGCTAGTTTCGCGACGGAAGGCGTGTCCTAGCGTACCTAGGTATCATCCCCGACCGGGCCTTCTTCCTACTTTGAGCATCGCGTACGAGGCGACATGACGGTACACGTAGCGACATCATATTCAACCGGTGGTACCGTGATGATGTACCAGACGTATTGCACGTGTGCTTACATCGTGCAGTGGTATGTCGGAAGCTGCACCAGTCCGCCTGGGAAACTCCGACGACACTGTGGGGCGATGTGGGGCACAATACACATCATGCCGAGGCGCGATTTTGGGCGTTCGGGATCGTGAAGGAATATCAGCAAGGAGATGCTGAAAAAAACGATTGATGATAACGAGATAGGAAATGAAAGGAGGACGTGATGTACAGGTGCAACAACGCTAATTTGGGTATTCAAGACGACAAGGTAAGATGAGAAAGATCTATGACGCAACAATGGCTGGGCCTCTTCAAGTCTGTAATAAGGCTTCATCAATCTCCCAATCTTCCCAAGTAGGCTTATCGAAACCGTTGGGACGAGAGCTGCGTAGGAAGCCGTTCCAGTAACCTTCAACGCTGACCACGGGTCGGATTGTCCTGACATTGGCGTTGAATCCCTTGCTGTAACACTCCTGCATGTGTCGGTCTTCGAAGAGCTCTGGGTGCGTTCGTCTCATTGTCTTCAATGCTCTCTTTCCAACTTCATCGACCGAATCGTGGTGTCGCAACTGAAAGAACTCCTGGTCATGTTCTTTCCGTAGCTCCGCCATCATCCGGTCGTCGTAGAGTCCAAGTTGTAGTAGGTAGATATCGTACTGAACCAACGACGTGGTACCTAGGTAACTTCCACCAACCTTTGCTCGTCTGTGGAGTCCAACTAGTGCAGCGATGGTGCCCATGCATCCTGTTCCATAATCACTCATAGGGAAAGGTGGTACAACAGGCTCACTCAATCCCATTGCTTGACCCTGCGCCCATGCCACACCCGTCACGCAGTCTGCAATTTGCTGCCAGCCTGGACGTGAAGACCATGGCCCAGTGTGACCAAAACAATTCTCGGCAACGTAGACAAAGCCTTTGCCGCGCTTTCTGGCAAGACGAAGAAGCTGCTCGGGCCCGTATCCCAGACGATTTAGACTTCCGGGTCGATAGCCATCCAAAATTGCATCTGCCGATTGTAAAAGCTCCTCGAAGGTCTGACGGTCTCTTGGGTCCTTCAAGTTCAGGTCGGTGGTATGCTTGCCGATGTTTGCATCCACTTGGAAGAAAGGTACGTCGGAGAGGTTCGGCGATGTGACTTTGATGACCTCAGCACCGTATTCGGCGAGCCCCCGACCCATAGCGGGCCCGGCAATGATCCGGCACAGTTCAAGAACGCGGATACCGGCAAGAATCTGTGGTTTGGGCGTGTTTGATGACTTGAACGGAAAAGGCGCCGCGGGAGTTTCGCTTTCGAGAGTTTCCACCTTCCAAGGCGGTTGCTGAAGAAGTATACGTCCGTGTGGGGTCTTTTGGAAATCTTCCCACTTCAGGCATGTCACACCAGCTTGTCCAATCTCTTTATTCATCTCTTCGAGCTGATCGACAGTGTATCGACTGACATGATCCTCGATGACCTTGATGCATTCATGGTAGTCTGTCAGATCAGGCCGTGATCCTTCGAGACCGATCATGTTCAACGCTTTGGTTGCCTCAAGAGATCCATGAAGGTGAAAGTATTCTCCTGGGTTCTTGGTCTGGTAGAGGTTTGCGGATAGTCTGCGGTACAGGATAGATTGTGCTTGAAGCAAGTCGGTGTCTGTCCTGGTCAGTATTAATCGTCGGCCAAGCTGAGGCAGTGAGTTCAACCTTTAAGTAGCTTCTTAGCCCTTGCGTCCGATTTATCGAACCCGCCCACCGTGGCTAAATAGGTGGAGAATAGAAAAGCTGTGGCTCTTTCGAGTTCGACAGCGATACCGCGTGGCGTTTGAGCATCTTGTAGATCGGCAATGGCAGATACAACTCCTGCTTCAACCGCCTTGAGCGCAGAGATGGCCTCTGTTTGCTTCAGTGGGCTGGGAAAGTATGGGCTTCCGGTGTTTGCGGTCGAAAATTTAACATTGGCGATGTGTGGCAGCGACTCTTTGGGCAGATTGTCTTTCGCCTTGGTGAGTAATTGTTCTAATGCTGCCGTGGTTCCCGCCAGCAATGTGTTGGCGTGCGTGGCAATTTGATGGTGACTATTGTCAGATCCTAGATATGGCGCCATTTCGAAGAATGTAAAGACAAAACAGAACGGTACAAGATTGTAGCAAAGGGAATCTCAGGGTAAATACTCGTAGCCCTTCCAAAGACGGCCCGAGGTAAGGTTGCGTGGTAACGGCTTCGCCGTTGAAAAGCTGATTAGCGGCATATCGAGCTTGTTGACCGTATGCGGTCATGACCTTTGCTATCAGCATCGGCTAAGAGCGTCCTGCATGCATACCAACGGGTTGAGTCTAAAGGCGGGCTGGGCTGGGGTCTGTAGGCCGATTTCATGACGATCGGCAGACGTCCAGCGCTACTCGATTTTCGGAACAGTGGGAAGCCCAAGCTTCGCAGCTTCGCGACAACCACGAGGGACTCGTCACCCAATTCCATCAGCAAGGCCATCAGGATCTTACTGTGATCGTCTCCATCTCATCAATACAGACGGCGAAGGCTGCGGGGCCCTTTTCCGCGTCATTTTCGCGTAGCGTTATGGGACTTCCGTGACTCGCTTCCATCATTACCACGAGTGCATCTTCCGACCAGCTCATCCATCCGTCGCGTCGGCAATGTACTCCCAGGCATTGACCATCCGGATTCGCACGTGATAACGACTGCGACTACCCGCGGAGTCGATACCGTGATGACGCGACCCAAGGTCCCACCAGGTTCGTCTACGCTCGTACTGGCGACTTCCCGAGGTCACGGCTAATTTGACGCGTCGCAGACCAACGACAGCGCACCGCTCAGGCGTGCGAAAGTTGCAAGAGGAGAAAACAGAAGGTCGGTTCAATTTCTCAACTGTTGCATCACGACGTTTTTCGCGTTCGGCTACAGATGCACTTGGCACAGACCCCTGTCGGCGTTCACGACCTGCAACTTAGTTCTTGCATGCCATTACGCTAGCATCTTGAGGTTGCTATGCTCACCGATCGCCGTGTGGAGGCATTGCGGGAGGCCATCGGCTAGCTGTGCGGCTCCATCACGTTGTACAACAGGAAACTGTCCGGCTGGGCGATGCTTCACCCGAACGCTTTGTAATCATGGACAGTATCTGCATCGGCTCCTTCGCAAGATGACTCGCGGACACGTGCAACTATGCCCTCTAGTTGACATACGAGACTGACAGATCACAGTGCAACGGCTTGTGCCCCTGCAGCACATGTGATAAGGTTAGGCCCCCATCCCAACTGCATACTGCAATGTATTGACTTTAGATAGCGCAAGTTTACCTGCATATACGCGGATCGAGATCCGAATTCTCCAGGCGAGGACCGACCACCCGCAAAGAGACGTACAATTGAGAGCGGCAATGACAGCGACAGTTCGATGTACGTATCTCGCATTTCATCACTCTGCCAAATATATGGGACTCTGCACTCCTCCAAAAGCGTTATCCATCGCTATATGCCTGGACGCTTTCCGAAGCACAATCCACTGACTGCTCACTTTATAGTCCAACTGACAACCGGACTGTAAATACTCCGGCTGTCGAGCACGCACAAACAACGCCACTTTCGTTACATAACCGCACGTCGTCTGTCAACCAACCAAATTTGTTGACACGCACACTCAGTGTCAACCAAGAAGTACCGTTCAAGTCTCCCGGCCCAGGACCCAGTATAGAGCATGCAAACAGCTCAATCGATCGTCTGGCTGTCAATCATGATAACACCCGTGACCGGCTTACTCCGACACACGCTTCCACTCCAAATGATGGCACAGATGAAGTGGCGGAGTTTCCAAGCCAGAGCCGCATGTTACAAGATCCAACGGGTCGAGTGATATACATTGGCGATGCAGCTACGCTATCATTTCTTCAGCTCCTTCGGATGATGGTCGAAACGGTAGCCGGCCCGTCACCGTTTACGACTGACCCTCGTCGTCACAAGATAGTCGAAGGCCAATACTCACTTCCATTGGGATATCGACAGTCGAGTCTACTCCCAGACGAGCGAACGGCACGCGCGCTGGTGGATGCCTTTTTCGTCAATACTCACGGCTTATTACAGGTCTTCCGACGTGACTCCTTTCTTGAGAAACTAGAGCGTTGCTACTCCGATCCGCTATCTGTCGATACATCTTGGTCATGCTTACTCAACCTCGTTTTCGCCATCGGCCTCACCATGGCGACACCGCTTTCAGGAAGCCCTGAGGCGCTGATAATCGACAAGCTTCGCAGTGAACACCTCGACAGAGCCGAGGCTTTCTATCTAAATGCTAGGAACATGAACGATCCGATGACAGGTTTGGAGGATCAGGATTTCTGGTCTGTCCAAGCGCTGCTTCTCATGTCATATTACATGTTGGCAAAAAGCAAGCGCAACACTGCTTTTGCCTTACTTGGGATGGCGGTACGGTCTGCACTTGCTCTCGGCCTCCATAGAGAAGAGACTATGGTCATCTTCAGCCCAGAGGAACAAACACAGCGAAAGGACCTTTGGCGGTCGATATTCGTGATGGATCGTTTACTGTCTTGTTCTCTTGGCCGTCCGACCGCCATATCGGAAGACGACTGCTCGGGAGATACACTCCGCCCGCCCGACAGCAGTGTTCGCAACCAGTCATGGAGCTTCAGCGCAAAGACTGTGTACGATTTCAACGAGACTGGCCCACCTGCTCTGGAAGCCACCGTTCGAAGCTGCAGAGTCATCGGCGTCATCTTGCGGAGGGTGTACCAGCAACGCAAGATCAGCACTCGTCTCGCCCAAGAGATATCGGACATATGCAAGACATGGCCCCGGCTGCTGACGCCCATCTTGCAATGGCGACAAGCAGCAACTGCCTCGCCCAGTCAAGGCGTGGCCATCTTGCACGTCAACTTATTCTACTGCCATTCCGTCATCCTCCTTACTCGACCTTTCTTACTGTATATACTCAACAAAGAGACTCAACGGCATGTCGAACAACCTGGGTCGAGAGGGCCACGACCTTTCCACCGCATGGAGCGATTCAGCGAGGCCTGTGTCATCGCCTCTGTGCATACCATCCTGCTTATACAGAACGCTTACGAGGCTGGTTATCTGTCCCGACGCAACCCAGCCGTTATCTACTTCCTCTTCGCAGCCACCCTCGTCATTCTTGCAAGCGACTTCGCCGGCCTATACCAGATCGAGCTAACGGACAACTGCGTTGTCAATGCTATTAACGTCATGAACTACTGCGCAGAGAGCGATCAACAAGCAAGCCGTCTAGTATACATACTGAGTTCTTTCCGAGACGTCGTCGCACAGCAACGACTACGCCGGCGACAGGATTCAACAAGTAATGCGACACTACCCAGCATCGCATCACAACTCTATGGCAGGCAGATGCCGCAGCAACAACGTAACTCTGCGCCCCAGGCACCCGATTCAGCGCGCGCATCAAACCCGATGGATGCAACACCACGGCTTCACCAAGTGCCCGTACACATATATCCCGGCATGCAGACAGCGCCGATCAACGAACCGGTACTGACGTATCAAGCCTCTGAGCAACACCATGCTCTTGGTCAAAACCAACACCACGGCAACGTTCAGCACAGCCCAGCTCCCACAGGAGAAGACTTTAGTGTCCATCTGTCTCCTATCCAAGAGCCCCCGCCGGTAGACATGGCCACGCCATCGTATACATCGGCCTCGAGAGCGCCCTCACTATCAGCCATGCTCGATCTATCTGCTTTAGAAGCAACGCGTGTGCCCAGTCTGCATTCCGAGGATAGCGGACAGGATGAGCAGATTGACTTTGACGCGCTGTGGGCCTGGCCTAGTAACACACCTGCAATGGGCAGTCCACGGGCTATGGAGGCAAGCGGGGTGAGCGAGCGGGTGCAGGGCATTAGTGATAGCGCTGTACCCATGTTTGGGGTTAGTAGACAGGGAACAGATGGCCTTTGAAAGGGTGGATATGGTTTGGAGTTTTGTATTATTTTCGATTCTTTGTGCATACTACGATGTGCATCCAGCCGTTTGTGACCCTATGTATTCCGATTCCAGGCTTGTGGTACAGGGCGAAATGCGATGACCCCTCACAGTGATGAGGGCCCCATTTAACTGTTCAAACACTTTTGGCAGTGTCTGAATGCCCCGATTTGTTCATCGCGTTGTTTTCAGCAGTTCCCTTCTCACTTTTCTAACTTGGTAGCCATTCGTGCAAGCACGTGGGCTAGAGGAGTGAAACAGTGACAGGGCGAGTTGAAAACAACGGTGGTCTTCGCGGCCTGTAACGCGATGTGCATCTTTTGTACCGCAGTGAGGCCCTGTTCGACTTTACCAGTAGTGACCCCGCAGTGAGCGCAACCGCCAGGGCGTTTGTAGATTGTAATTTCCTTATGCATAGGATATTCGAATCTGAGTGCCAGTGATTGTAGATGCACGAAGCTCGCTTGCCAGAGAGTTGAGGTAGCGTTGCCATCATGCGGTAACAGATCGAATGTACTAAGTGCGCCATCTCTTCCGAGCGGCGACTCTGGGCTAAGAATGTAACGCATTGCCGAACGTTCAGCAAGCAACGCACTTGTAAACATCGTATACGAGTAGTAGGTATACGTCAATACTTCCATCGTCCTAATGAGGTGTCCACAAGCTGTCGGAGGATGTTGAATGTATGCGCGATAATCTGGAAGGCCCATTTGGATAGTTACCTTGAACACATTTCGCTTATAGTACGTCTCCAAGGCGAGCGCGGTGAATTCGCGGTTCCGAGTGCCGATGATGGACGTAAGCTGTTCTGCTAAAACACGAGAGTGTGCAATCGAATCAATCCCGTTGGTTTGATCAAGGTTATGAGCCAAAATCTCCACCTTCAACTCATCTGGAAGCCGCGACCAGCCATGGAAGGTAGCAGGCGGTTTGGTGTTGGGATCGTCCATGTTGCTTTAGTTGCGACGAAGAGAGATCTGTGAGCCGTGTTAGCTTTTGAGTAGAACAGAATGATCAATGAGCTATCGCGCGGACGATGTAGACGAGCACCCACCTTGAGGCTGTCTTAACGCGCAGACTGTCTGCACTCCAGACTTCGCGTTCACTGCTGTAATTGTGAGCCTCGTAGATCTGTATGATGTGGTCTCCTCACCGGAATTCTGGATCGTTTAGAATCAAGGCAAAGGGTGTGAAGAAGTGGCGAAGAGGTGAGTGGTGTTATCTACTGTAGCTGCCAAGCCTAGCCAACTCAGGACTGTGCGCTCCAGGTTGGGAAAGAGCAACGCTGGATTAGAGTCACTGAAATTTTGGAGGGCACTGTGAGGAATCTTGAAGAGCACTGTGAAATTCTTTTGGTACCTAATCGTACATCTCACTCGTGCTGTCTCTTACAACGCCTCCAGAATGCGCACATCGCTCATCGCTTCAAAGGGTATCGTCTCGCTTCCTGCACCTTGCAAGGCCCACTGCAGGGTCTTCTCTACCGCACGTCTACCTGTGTGCTCAAGAGGTAGCCTATATAATGTTAGCAGATGCACCCTCAATATTGGTGTTCGGGTTAGCTCACCAATGGCCTGCTCCTTTGATAACCACGACCTGACTTCCCTTGACCAGATAGTCGCGAGCGTTATCAAATGAGAGCCGTTGATTGAATGCAGGATCAAACTGCCCCATCATGAGTGTCGAAGGGGCCTTCAGCGCGCCCTGTGGTGCCATACTGGACAGGGTGCCTGATGCAGACAAGGTCTGCGAAGAAGCAGCTTCAGAGGAAATGTTGTACAGCGCGGCAGTAACCTCGAGCGACTTTTCCCACTTGCCGAAAGCCAGGCTGTCGCGATAGATGTGGATCTTCTCGGACATGCCGCGGTCGCCTACTCTGCTCTTGACAGAATCGCCGTATCGTTCACCCTTGTCGTTCGCCTTGTTTAGCTGGGCACTTCCGGGTCCAGTAGAGATTGCCATTGCTTCAGCAGCTTCCGTAGGTTCCAACACAGTAGCAGCCTTGCCCTTCTTCGGTGTGCCTTTGCCGAACTGGTGGAGAACACGCAGGAAGAAGTAGTTGCCAAAAGTCGCGAAGACGTTGTGGAGAGGCCAGGGTAGATGGAATACGAAGATGTAGAAAGAGCTTCGGAACTGTCCAGCCACAGGGCCGAGTGCGTGTAACCCATTCTTCAGCAGACGGAAGTTGAACGGAGAGTGTATCCATGTCCTCAGCATTTGCTTCGCCAACAAGATCCTGTTCGTCGCGTTCGAGTGTAGTAGAGCTGTGACGGCGCCGCCTGTGATGATCCAGTGGTCAGCCAGGACATGTGCCTCGGAAGCCAGCCGGCCAGCAATGACCGCACCCCAGTCGTGCGACACTACCACTACCTTCTTGCCTTCCGACAGGAACTGCTCTCGTATGCCGACAATGAACTCGCTCAACACCTCGAGCATTTCGTTCGGGCCGTATGCGGACAGACTGTCGGAGCCGCCATAGCCAGGGAGATCGACGGCTATCAGGATGGAGTCCTTTTGTAGGGAAGCGGATTGGAGGAGGTGGCGCCAGATGAGGTAAGAATCGGGGAATCCTGGTCTTTGTTAGTTGCGTAGTCCATTAAAGTTTGGTACCTGCATGACTTTGCTAAGAGAACACATACCATGTAGAAAGATGGTAACGTTCTTCGGCGGTGATGATCCAGTGTCCTGGTTAACGACATAGTGCAGGCGGGTACCGTTGGTGGTTTTGTAGAAGGCATGCTTGAAACCTGGTAGAGGCTCTCGGTCAAGACTCCAGAAACTCTCTTGCGCAGCAGCCAACGCGCGCTTCTCCTCGTCGCTATCTTTCGCCCAGAGCGCCCCGTTCTTGATGACTGCCATGGTCCATACTCCGGCAAGGCTGAACAGTCCAAATCCAAGTTTGAAACCGCTCCAAGCCAGACTCCCGAGTTTGTCTGCCATGTTGGCGTTTTGGCTGGAGGTGTGTCGCAGTACAGCTCTGCTCAGTTGTCTGTAGATTAGGCACCCAATAAAAGTTCGTGCACATGTGTTGGTGGTGGTTGTAGTGGAGCGACGGTCCTGTCACATGTAGCGCGAAAGTAGAGTTGAGAAGGTGCGATCAAAAATCAAGGTTGGCTGGTATCCACCCCCGCATGCTGGAAGCAAGAACATAGTCCTGACTGTAGCGGTAGCCCCAGGGGCAGATCGCGATGGCGAAGCAGATGACCCGCGAAACCACGCGGCAGAGACGATCAAGGGTCCTGTGTGTCCATGGAAGCTGCAGTGATGATCGTTGAGGTATGACGCTATTGGCCATAGCTTCTGCTATGCCGCGGACTGACGCAGTCTGATCGGTCGGGTAGCTTCGTCCCCCGGTTCAGGGTGCAGTCGCTGGTCGCCTGGGCACCGGGTTAGGGCGATGCGCGTGCTCTGCGCATCATTTAATTTATGCTTGAGTTGTCACCACTGAGAGCTGGGATATCGTGGGTCTACTCGTCTATCTACGAGATTGTACGCGCAATGCTCGTACGTCTTTAATGGCAATCATGGCATGTGCTCTTATCTTGGATGGGAACAGCAGCCATAGTAACATCTGACGTGTGCGCATAGCGATATCCAATATCGAGGTCCTGCCCTATTGTGCACAATAGCTCGCTCACCTGGGACTCAACGCAGCGCCCCCAAAAACTTTGACATTCCAATGTCGGGTATCATAACAACTCCATCGCAACCTAGCACATCGACTCCAACATCCACAGGCACAGTGACTCTCAGTTCTCATCTCCTCTTCCCCTTGACCCTCTCCATGACCCTCAACTCGGCACTCCTCTGCAGCCTGAGATCTTCCAACTCCCTCTCAATCCCTCTGTTCTTCTCTACAAGCTCTTTCCTCTTCTCCATCCTCTGCTTAGCCTCCTCCAGCTTGTGCCTCACAACATCTTCCACCACCCTCTCCAGCTGCCCCGCATCCTCGATGCCATGCTCTCTAATGAAGCGGTCCGCGAATTCTTCGATAGTGTGAGGTGATGGCCCTGGACCACCTGTATGATATCCGTTTTGGTGCGTCATGTAAAGCCCAGGCACGGCGGAAGGATGTGTACGTAGGTGGGAGGAGAGCGAGATGGGCAGTTGCGACGCGGAGATTGTGGGAATCTCGTCTGACGGCTTTCGCGGCGAGGGCTGGGGTGGTGGGTTGAGTATGATTTCCATAAGACTGTTCTCAAATGCCTCGTCGTATTGTACTGTGGATGGCGAGAAGTCGACCATGGGGGATGTGAGTTCGGGCTCGTCGCGTGGTGTGAGGGGCGCGTTGCCCATTATCGTGTCGTGGTTGCTCATGTTGTCGTCTTCGCGGTTGTAATTAGCCATGCGACGCGTGATGGAGAGAAGCAAGGTGTTGCGATCCGAACTTTGTTGAATTGAGGGGATCCGTCTCGAGGCTGTCGCGATGATGGGGCTGATGCCGCATGACTAAGCCCAAGTTCCGCAGCACCTCCGCGGTCGCGACTCGCCCAACTTTTGCCTACCAAGCCCAACACCAACCCAGTCGCACATCTCCAAACGACCGACCGAACTCCGTACATCATGGCCGACAAACTGCGCGCGCAGCAACAACTCGAGGCTCTCCAGGCCCGCTACATCGGTATCGGAAGCGCAGACACTACCAAGCACGAATGGACATCCAACATCGCGCGCGACTCGCTCTCGAGCTACGTCGGCCACCCGCCTCTTCTACAGTACATGAGCATCGGACTGGGACAGCCGCGCGAAAAGACCCGACTACAGTTACTAGAGCGCATGGTCAGGCCTGTCGGGCCTCCGCCTGAGGTGAGTAATGGAAATGTTGAGTTTTAGAAGTAATGAGCTAACAGGAAGTAGCAACAAGATTGATCGGGACACTCTAGAACGACAGACTTGATTATGGAGACATGCGGAGAACGAAGATCCAAAGCGAAAGCCGCTTTCCATCCCCAGCACGAATGCGCGCGAGGCCGGCT